TGCTCTTAATACGTATTTGATCCTAAATTGATGCGGCGTGTAGTTTTTATGTAGTGACTACTTTCCTAAACTATTCAATTCACAGGTCTGCCCCCTTTACGTCCCGAAAAGTACCCGTTTCTTGCTGGTATAATTGGTGGCATTCTGGCACCGTGTTCTGGTACCACCAGAGAACCTTCTTCAACCCGAACGGCGTCAATTATGCGACCGAGCAGTGACGCAACAAAGGGCGGCGATATTTACGTTAAAATTTTCGTTTAAACGTCCCCGAAAGAACCGTTCCTTGGTAGAGAGCGCCTATACGCCACGCTGAAAGCAAACGGCGCGGCTTTCTCGCCCGAAAAGGACACCTAGTGTCTCAGGCCGTAACGAATTTCACCAGGAAGCAATCGGACCAGGTGTCGGATTCTTCACGCCCTCCAAGAGGAAGGTCGGGCACACCTTTTGACGGGTGCGCCAAGTTGGCCACCCCACCCCACACGCGTTCACCTGGTAGAACCCAGAAGAGGTTGATTTTGCCCACCCCGATCACGTTTTGGCAATTCTGCGAGTTTCCATGGATTTTTTTTAGCGTGGAATGGGTTCTTTCAGTCTTGTCCAGGATGACATGCGAACAAACCCAGACACTGGATCAGCCATTCGAACCCCGAAGGGTTCTTTAAGGGGCCTAACAGCACCAAATGTTAAAAAGTTCCCTCGATTTGTTGAAAAAAACGTTTTTTGGTTCCGTTTTTGGCTGTTTTTAGCCTGCCCTTCTGCTGTGAAAAAGCTATCCAGCGGGCTTATGCAAACGACCTCGTGCCTGTGTGTCTGTCTGTCTGTTACACTAGAAGGAGATGTGCAAGAGACATGAAATTTTCAGGGTAACTGAAGGTTCACTCCTAGAATACGAAACGCCTACGGCAAATCCTGGCAACCACCTCTAAGGGGCTGAAAACATGCGTTTTAGGGGCGGTTCCAGATAGTAGGGTTGAGGAGTGGTAGCTATCGGTGGTCCCAGGGTTGTTGGAGGGAGGAGGCAATCACTGCTAGCCGGTAGGGGACATTAAAACATTGAGCCAACGTCACA